CTACTACTACTACTACTACTACTACTACTACTAGTACTACTAGTGCTACTGCTGCTACTGCTACTGCTACCTCTACTTGGAGGTTCATGGGTATTTATAAGTAGGGTCATAAGTAGGATAACTATACTTATAACCCTTATTAGGGGATTCAGAACCCTACTTATAACTATACATGAACCTCCAAGTACTACGATTCCTGATGATAATACTGTTGATGATATTAATCCTGCATTACCTTAAGGACCTAGACTATGGGAATTATGGTATATTCCTTATTATGGGTAATGCAGGGTTTATATCATCAATCGGTATTAATCTACGACTAACTGTCATACTGATAAGAATAGTAGGCATAACAAGAAGAAGAATGATAATCCTCGAGATGAGGATCTACCACTCTTTCTACTCCTGCCACCACTACTTATGGTTTTGCCTGCTGCAGTTTTATCAAATGTTTCACAAGGGCCTTCTGGGGAGGACCATGCGACTTCGTAAGTATAGTTGTACGTGCTAGAAATTGAGTGGTCCGAGCAGAACTAGGTTTCTCTGACCCTTGAAGTAAGGACTCTGAACAGGGCTTCAGGGTTTCAGGTGTGGGTGGTGCATTGCTGTAACTCAAAACCCTTGGTGCTTTCTAGTGGGATCTTTCCACTGTCCGATGCAAGATGAGTGGGTTCATAACGGCGTGAGAAGGACTCGGGGTGTTCTCTGGAGTAGAGTCTCTTTTCGGATCGGATCGAAGGAATGCGCCGTTTTGTAACCATAAAACTTGGAGAACAATCCGTTTGATGTGTTAGGTCCGTGCGGCTTTCGGTGTGGTCGGGTTCACAGGGTTTAGAGGGCGGCGTCTGGGGTTTAAGGCTTTAGGGTCCTGGGGCTTCGGCGTAGTGATTCTATAGGGCCTGCATGGCGACGAAGCTGTATCCTTTGGGTATGGGCTTACTGAAAGCTTAGGCTTCGGTGCCTAGGCACGCCTCTGGTTCGGAAGGTTTTAGGGTTTGGGGATCTTGTCGTTCGGTAGGCCAGGATAATGCGAATATTGACATGAAATGCAGGTTTAGCCCTCACGTCAACAGTAAATTCGAATACTTAAACCGAAAATCTTTGTGGCCGACGGGCCTTGACCGCCTGAATCCTGCAAGCACTAAAGATGTCGAAACCCTTGCGAGCGGATCTGTCTTGACTCCGTAACCTGCATTGAGTTTGCCTGGATTCTGGAATTGCAGTGTCTGATGAATGTAGGAACCTGATCAGGGCACCCAAGCACAGACCCAAGGTTTCTTGATCGGCTTCCTAAATTATCCAGGTTTGCTGCATGTTGGCATGGTCTTGCTGTTTGTTCGGCTTCCAAACCCTGAATGCATCCAGGAAAAGCAGCCTGTGATAATTAAAGTATCTTAACTCGCTTCTTTCTCAGATCCGCTTCTGTCTCATCAGATCTTTAAAGGGTCCTGGATTGATCTTTGTGGTTTCGTTCTTGTGCTGGATGCAGTTTTGCGTTTGGGGTTATGCCAAGGCTCAGAATGTCAGGCGTTTCACTCTCGCCGGAGAAGCGAGATAAAAGCCGTATCTAAGCCATGTACTGGCCCTGGCCCCTAAACCCTAAACCCTAAACCCTGACCCACCATAATCCGAAGCTGTGCACCCTGAATCGGCCAGAACGGAACGGGCGCGAGCCGCTGTCTCAAGAGAAAACCGGGGAGTTGGGTTTAGGGGTTTAGGGGTTCAGGGTTTAGGGTTCAGAGTTTAGGGTTTAGGGAGCGGACAGAGTAAAGAGTTTCGAGCCAGAGTTTCTTCCCGAGTTTGTCTTGTATCCTGGGGGTCGCGAGCAATCTTTGGAATCCTTCTCAAGGCAGCTGTGGCTAACTGCTGCTAGTAATTGTGTGTTTGCATTAGTATTGTTACTAGTATTGGTACTAGTATGGATATTAGCATTGTAGCGGCACAAGCATTTGTATGAGTATTGAAATAGCATTGGGATTAGTACAAGTATTGGTATGAGTATTGAATAGTCTAGAATTAGGAGTAGTATTAGTCATGTGTCCTTGCATAGGTCTTGTCGTTGATTTTGGCATATAGGTCGGCTTTCGAATCTAAAGGTCGCACGAGTCATAATATCCTCGTATAGTCCCGAATGTAAATTCTGATCCAAAGCCGTCATGCCCGGAAAACTCTTACATCTATTCGTATCCTTGTTTTCAATGGGGCTTTTGTTGCTTTTAGTGTTATAACGATGGTTAGATTGTTACTATTGTGAATACTGCGCCGGGCCGATAGTTTGACCCACTAGCTTCTGCCTCATAGTTAGAACTAATCGGTCTTTGGAGCCCATCATACTATACTTATAGTAAGGAACCCCAAAAAACCAAATTATTAAGCCCCCTACTTTATAGTACTCTTATAGCAACCCATAACGCACCCCTTGAGGGAACCTTATTCTAATTAAAAGCCCCTTCCCGTACTTTCGCTGAGGCGGCAAAGGTCGCGCCGTAAGTCGAACAGAGAGAGGCGCTGTGCTTCCCAGCGATCATTTCACGGGAGTTTCCGAAATGAGGGGGACCCTGTTTTGGGATCCTTTCAAAGGTTACTATAAAGGTACTATAAGGGTTCTCTAAAGGGTTTAGGGTTTAGAGTTTCCGATAATTAGGGGTGCCTTGTTTTGGGGTCCTTCTCATGAGGATCCGACCCTTTCAGGGTACTATATTAGGGTCCCCTATATTCGGAAACTATCATTTGACGGGAGTTTAGGGTTTAGGCGGGTTTAGGGTTTAGGTCGGTTTAGGGTTTAGGTGAGTTTTGGGTTTGGTAGGATTCAGGAATCTAGTCGGTTTGCCAGCCCCAAAGCTCGTTGCTTCGATTGAATCGAATCGCGCTTAAAGCGTTAGTCAAATCAAGGCTTCGTGCTTGACGGAAACCCTTTCAGGTCCTTCACTAGCGATCGCAGAAGGAATCGAGCAACATTCAGGCGAACCGCAATGTAAAGCAGCGACCCAGGTACATCCCAATGCCTTGCGTGTTAGGCTTGGGGGGCAATCTATTGAAACCCTTGCCAACATTCCTTAGACCATACAGCGGACTAACGTAAAAAGGAACCCGAATCACCGGGTGTTTGACTTGTTGGGTCATTTTCCGCGGCTGGGCTTTGTGGTTTGCATTTCAGAAAATCAGGGTCTGTGGGATGGCCCTGACCTGTAGGATCCTTCTTTCAGCTACCACTAAATCAGGTATCCCTAACTTCTTAAGTTTTCAACAGCAGTACCTTTGCCACTCCTTTGGATGAGGCGAGGGATGGATCCACAAAGAGGCAAAATCGTCATCCTTGCTCGATACGCGTTCCATTATGCAGGTCTGTGTAAGAGCACTGTGTCTTCCTCACTCTGTAATTGCTCCAAAACCTTTGGGCTGAGCTTTGGCAGATCATTCGCAGGGAGCTTTAATGATTACTACAATTACTCCCTTGTAGTCCCCATATATTTTCAGTCAATATGATCTTCCTGCAAGCCCTATTCCTACCATTAAGGCCCCTCTGCTGCCAACTGGAACTAGGTGCCTTCCTAATACGCTTACCCAACTGTTAAGAACGCTTCCACGCAGCTGCTCGGCTCGTGCGGCGGATCGGTCTTGATGTTGGAGCTAGCATGGGTCTTAATGTCGTGTTGTTCGTCGCATGGCTTGTGGTAGTCTTGTGGTTCTGTTGTTGGCGTTTCGGAAAACTGACGCAACTAGGGTACCTTCTTCGGACATCCTAATGAGAGTCCCTGCATTTGGGATTCTGAGATTCGTGGTGCGAGATATGGAGTATGGAGCACCCTAAATAGTATGATCCTCATTAAAAGGACCCCCAAAATCAGCTACTCCCCAAAAAAATTCGGAAGCTTCCATACGAAACCCCCACAGGTTTCCGAAAGTCTCTCCTGTGTCTCCAGGCGATCCCCGCCGCGAGAAGCCAGTCGATCACGGACCTGGACGCAGGAGAAGGCTTGGATGTGCAGGGTGTTCTGATCTTAAACCCCTCCACCCTAACCCCCCCAAAAAAAAAAACAACTAACCCCTAAACCCTACCTTGCCCCAGGGTGTGATGATCTCTTTGTCATAGTTGGGTAACGGTTTCTACATTTATGGGTATCTAAATTCAATAAGGCACAAAAATGAAAAACTTTCTGTATTATCCCGACCATGAACTAGATCTGTCCGAATGGTAAAGCTTCAGAGTGCTTGTGCTTGACTTCGTTGCAACTTCCTCAAGGACGGTGATCCTTGACCTTGCAGAAGCTTAAGTCTATGCTTCAGGCAAGACCCAGCGCAAAGGCAATCCTCGGAAATCGGATGCTGGTTACGTTCGCTGCGACATGTACAATAGGGCGGATTCTTCTAGGGGGTCCAAGAAAGTACCTAACCACCACAGTATAGTATAATACAAGATAGTATAGAAATGCTTTGTTTTGTGTACCGAACCATAAGCATGATGCCTCCGTGCTTCCCGTTGACACGAGCCCACTGCAGGCTTGTCGGGTCAGATCTCCGAAATCCTAAACCTTACTTGGAGGTTCATGGGTAGTTATAAGTGAGCGAAGCAATGCATTATGCACTGGAACATCCCTCTCGCACGTGTTCGAACATGCGTGTGGAGGCCTGACAGAGCTCTTCAGATTTACACTGCTTCAAAACGACGTTTCCCTTCAAAGGGAGACTTAGTCGCCCTGAAAGGGGCCACCAGTCGCTAGCCAGTTTGGGCTTGGTCAGTATGTCGGCTCGTTGAAGATGAGTCGGCACCCAAACCAAAGGAGCCCGGGCGTCATCGCAGTCGGCGGTTTCCTCCATCAGTGTTTGTCTCAAGCAGGCAATGTCTATCGCGAGGCGACGATCGGAGGGAGTCCTCGGAAGCCCATCACGGTGCATATGGTCGTACAAGGAGCGGCAGTCGGTGACGCCCAAGATTGGGATCCCCTTTCCCGCATCTCTGGTGATCTTGCCGGAGAGGAAGGAGTCGATCATTGCCCTCACATACTGTCCAAGCTCGAACCCCTCAATGCAGCCCATGGTTTCTGCTCCAAAAGTAGACCGGCAGACCCGATCACAAGCATGGGAAAACGCCATTCCAAGATACTAGCCGGAGAACCTGAAGAAGTGACCCCATCCTTGCCACATAGCATCACCAGGGTCCCAAGCTGCGATGCCACGCTCGAGTTCTTCTTCTTCGTCTTGCGGGCCTTGTTCACCCAGGGTCCTTCGGTGATCATGCCGTTCTTCTCGTCCTCCTCGTAGAGGAAGTAGATGGGGTCCGCGTTGGAGTCCGGCGCATTGCTCCATCCCGCATCATGGAACACCGTCACGACCATCTCGTTGAGAGGGATCTTCGCCAGGAGGATGCCTTCTTCCTTGTGTAGCAGTGCCCGCTTCGCCATCGTGTTAGTAAAACGGATGTCCTCGATCGTCGGTCGGGCCTGTAGTTGTTGACACATGGACACTCCACAGGCCAAATCTGGCCTTGATTGTGATGCCAACCATGAAAGGGCACCAACCAAAGAGCGGTTGTCTGCAACCTGTTCGGCGTCAGCAAGTGCATCTCCTGGTGCCTTGGGGTCGACGTAGATCTCGAAAAGGCGGTTGGTGGCATAGGAGGACTGAGATATGAAGATGCCATCATGTCGGGTCTCGATATGGGAACCGATAAAGTCGAAGACGTCCTCTTCCCATTCGTCCACCGGAAAACATTTGGAGAGTTGTTCTTGGACCGAAGTGCGAAGAGCTCGAGGTCCAGCCAGGAGTATGTCATCAACATGGACCGCTGCGTAGCACAGTGGTGGTCCGGTTCCGCGCTTGCCGTCAGCATCCAACTCAATCAGTTGGAACACACATGGATCCAAAGGGGATGCGAAGAACTTGCCCTTCTTGTTGTCCGGGAGGTCGATCGTCAGTTCTTGGATATCCTTCTTGAACTTCTTCCACCATTTCCTAGGGCTATCGATTAACCCGAAAACCCCCTTCTCGATCTTTATGAGTTGATCTGGGTGGAGTCCTGGAAGACCGTGCTTTGGTTGTCGTAGATAAAGTTCGCGGTCCAACTTCTCGCCGTTGAGAAAAGCTGCAGTCACATCACCAGCTGCAACGCCCCAGTCGGCATCCAGTCGGGAAGCGGCCAACTGAAGAAGTGTCATGACCGCCGTGCGTGACACCGTGGGCGAGTCAGTCCGAAGAGCACCTGAGACAATGTCCGGGTCGGTATGTCCGGACACCACAAGCCTTGACTTGGCCTTCCATTCGACTGTCGGGTCAGTCCGTCGTCGAGCCAAGTTCTTGTCATGGTATGCAAACCTCGAAGAAAGCACCCGCCCCGACTTGATCTTCTCGGCGCTCTCTGCAAGGTCCAAGGGGCGAAGAGCTCCTAGTCGAAGATGTTCTTCCCATTGCTTGTGCTCTGCATCGATGAAGAGCTGTCTCTTGGACTCCGGTATCATGCTCCACGGGATCTCCTTCTCGAGTTGTTTGTCTCTGCCACGTTTGGTAGTCGCCCTCTTCAACATGTGGGCCTCATTGACCACTTCCTTTTCCTTGGTCGCGTCGTAGGGCTCCGGTCTTTTCGTGGAAAATCTCCTGCGGACGGCGCGGGGGAGGTCATCACGAGGAAGTCCGGGTGGTCCTTCTTCAAGTAGATCGCCATTATCGAGCTCCATGTCACCCGTTTCGACCTCATCTTCGCCACCCTCGGGTTCGGAGAGATCCATGACCGCGTCGAAAAGGTCCTTGTCCCCGATCTCGCCGTCGTCCTCGCCTGGGAACACCGCCGAGTCGTCATAGTTCCTTTCCACCAAACGTAGTAGATCGTCCTTTGTCGCGCGGAGCGCGAACATCCCACCAAGTTCCTCTGGCAGGGCTTTGCGAAGGTGTTCTGGGGCGCATAGGTAACACCGTCCGCTATGTGACACCCAGTAGTTGTTATCTTGGCGCCCGATAATGGTTCCGGGCCCCTTCCAAAGACCGGTCTTCTTGTTCGCGGGCTTCCTCCAGAAAAGAACCATGGCTCCGTTGTCGAGATCCCTGGGCTTCACTCGGGCCCTCTGGGACATCCCTCTCCGGATCTTGTCCTCGGTGCGGGACTTGAAGAAGGAGAGCTTGGCGGCGTTGCGGATCATCTCACGGCGCTGCTGTGCTGAGTCTGGGGTCCTGAGTAGTTCCCCACCGCCTTCCTCAGCTTCGAATCGTAGGTCGTCGTCACCGCGGGGGTTCTTCCCGAAGACGATTTGGCAGGGCGCCCAACCACAACGGCGTCGTAGCTCATTCTTCGCCGAGGAAGTTGCCGCGATGGCTTCCTCAACTTCCTCTCCGCGCACGGTCTGATCCTGAACGACCCTCGCGAAGATCTCTTTCCACCACTTCCCGTGTCTTTCGGTAAACCCAGACTGCCAGTGGGCCTGTCCGGCGCTGGTGCGAAGGTCGATGTGGAACCAATCGGCAAGGCGACCGAAAGCGTCCTGGATTCCTCTCTCCAGGTCAAGTGTGATCACCTTTGGAGCTCCAAACACCTGGATCCAGTGCTTAACGAGCGCCTTCTCCAAGACACTCCCGGTCTGTCGGGGAACTTGTATCACCACCTGATAGGAGGAGGCGTGGTCCACGATGGAAAACAGCTTGATCTTCTTGCCATCGATGTCGTAATCATACATCATGTCGACTCCAACAACATCTCCAAACTCCAATAGCTTCGGCTCCGCTGCCGGACGGGCACTCTTAGGCCCTTTCGTCCTCGCACAAGTAGAGCAGCTGAGACTCTTGGCCGCCTTGATCACGTCCTTGTCGGCTCCGGCGAGATGAAGATGGCGGACCAGGTCTTCACGGGCGGGGTGTCCGAGATTCTGGTGTAGACGACGGAGGGCCGCTGCAATGTCCTTGGGAACCTTTTTGTCGAAGGTAATCCCAGCGGCCCCTTCACGAAGAGGCTGTCCATCTTGATCCCCTCGAACATCTCCCTCTGCCATGTGGTTGGAGATGGTCTCGGAGGCTGTGGCCTTGAAACACTGCTTGTTGTCGAGGAGGACAGTGGTGACCGACCCGAAAGTAGCAAGTTGACGTAGAACTCTCTGTTGTGATGGCTCTGGTAGGGGTTCGGTAGGAATTACAACTGAACCATACTGCTGCACTTGCCATCGTCCACATACATCCACGACCTCGAAGAACTTGGCCTCGTCAAGCATCTCGTTCGGTGCGGTCGGGTTTATCCACAACATGCACGGCCGCGACTGGTCGAGCAAGTTGATCAAGTAATCTCCCGAGTCGTCTTGTGGGATGTCTTCCCAGGAGACGGGTTCAGCCGCATAACACCCGAAATCATTTGTTGCCTGAAGGGTCTGCTCGATCCCACCGATCTCGAGCAAGGCTATAGTCGGCGTAGAGGGCAGCGAGTCCTGTTTCGGAGGGGAAGCTGCGAGAGCCAGTGACAAAGAAGACAAAGACCATGTGAGGAAGGCACTGGCACGAGAAGCGTTCCTCCAGAGACTCTTCCTCATGCTCTTCTTGGGCCGCGAGGTCACTCTTGAGGAAAAAGTGATTGTAGTCGGGTTTCCGGCATCCTCGTCAGCAGTGGGTGGTGTGGCTTTCTGCGGAATGCGGCGGTCGACGATCTGCTTGCGGTCACGGGAAAGGTGTCGTAGATCATGTAGAGGGAATCCCCAAAGTCGAAGTTGTCGGCGTTCACCTTGTGTGCTCCCGGCAAAGCCTCTGGTGGAGAAAGCTGTCACCGACCACCTGTTCCCAGCCGTCCACGCCTGGGCCGAGTGAGAGCGCTCCGGCACAAAGGACACCACGTTTCCGAGAGTCGGAAGCACCTTCCCTTTGATCTCGCGGTCCTTGGGGTCCAGCACAACATCGTCTCCCTTTGCATGGCCGTTCTCTTGCCACAGTCCTCCTCCACCGGTGAAGTCGCCGGCGCAGGTGATGTAGTTCAGGGTCCCCTTCAGGTTGTTGAAGTCGGCATGGACCCGAGGCTGACAGTTCAGCGCGATCGAGAGCGAGGACCATTTGGCATCAGGTTGTTTCGCGAGGAAGTAGTTCTTGAGGTAGATGCAAAGAGACGCGTACTTCGAGGTATTGGCACAGATCCCTCGCATGTTCCCGTAGGTGTAGTAGCCGAGTGAGATCCTGCAACCGCCGGTGTCATTCTCCCCCATAGCCCTTTTCCTGGCCCGAGCTCCCCTATTGGGAAAATCTTCGCCATTCTTGCCGAAGGTGGTCTCCAGGACGGCGGTGAGGGTTGCCGCCGAGTAGTCCTCCTTCTGGATGGCCTCCGCAAGGATGTTCTCGATGTTCTCGGACAGCAACACACAGGAGTCCTGGTTCTCGCCCACGAGCTCTTCCCACACCCCTTCATTGTCCTCATCATCCTCGTGGTAGGTGAACACGGGGTCCTGGGTCTCCTCGTCGATCTCGTCCTCGGTCCGCTCCTCCGAGCGACTCGGGTAGGCGCCGCTCACTGGGGACCCACTTGGTCCTTCAACACCGCAAGGCGCTGTTCGAGCGCCCTGATCTCCTCCAAGACCTGCTCCGGCGGGTCCACATGCATCCGTTCCTTGGTGGTGTTCTTCTCCGCGCCGCGCTTCGTGGGTGGTGCCTTCGGCGGGTTCAGAGCTGCGGAACTGGATGGGGTCAGGGGCCGCTGGTCCTTGTCCACCTGGCTCATTGCCGACACCTCTTCCCAGGATCGGGACGACGCGGAACCTGGATAGGGGACCTTTGCGTAGCGCTCCGGGTCCTCCATCATCTCGCGACGGGTTGGCCC